ACTCCTTACAAGGTTCACATTAGCAAACTTTCAAAAGAAGAGGAAACTAAACTTCACCTTCGTCTACTCCAAAACAACTCAGATAACAGCATTTTTATCACACAGATGCATCCTCTACAACAACAGAAAATAGCCAAGGAATTGGGGTAGGTTTGTCTGTAATCTCACCTCAATCAAACAGAATCCACTACGAAAAGAAAGTCAACATTGGACCAAACAAGCTCGTCTACAACGGTGAAGTTGAAGGGGCCACGCTAGCAGTTGAATACGCTGCCAAGCACGCTAGACCAGGGATCCATTTCCACATCTACTCCGACAACCAGGCAGGTTTACGGAGGCTAAAAACCACATCAGATAACCCAGGGCAAGAGTGCCAAATCAGAGCTATCACAGCTGCCCGGAAGGCAGTTAGCAAGGGAGCTACTACCACAATTCACTGGGTACCAGGTCACACCGACATTCCAGGAAATGAGAAAGCAGACAAGCTTGCAAAAGCCGCCACCACAATCCAACCATCCACTCAACTCACTAGCTTTGCTATGCTAGGAGTCAAGATCAGGCAGACCCAGAACAAAGAATGGCGTCAAAAGCTTACTACACCCCCCCGGCACACAGAACCATCAACTAACCAACACTCGTATCGAAGGGAATTCCCATGGAAGATTCTGTCGAAACCTTGCGTCCCCCAAGGAACAAAAAGAGAGATAGCCAGCGCCTTTTATCAGCTTAAGCTAGGCCATGGATACTTCAAATCATACCTACACAAGCTCGGCCACACTACCAACAACCGCTGTAGATGTGGAAGACAAGAGACTCCCACTCACCTCCTTCTTAGCTGTCCAGAAACTGGGGATGCTAGGAAAGTACTAAAGCGCAACCTCCTCAAGCATCATATTCGAGAGTTCACCATGAAATCCCTCCTTCACACCGCCAAAGGAGTCGAGGCCACACTTGACTTTATTCGAACCACCAAAATCGCCACTAGAATATGGCACACACAACGCGCAACTGAGGATGAGAACGAAGATGAGGACGAGGAAGACGAGGACGAGGAAGATGAGGAAGAGGAAGATGAGGACGAGGAAGACGAGGACGAGGAAGACGAGAACGAGGAAGTGTAGCGTACAGGGCGTGAAACGAGGGGGCGTACTACAACATAACAACTTTTCTTTTGTCATAACCAGAAGCCTAGCTGCTTCCAACAACCCAAGAACTGTAATGACCATAACCCCCTTCTCAAACATGTATTTATTACAGCTTTACTCATCTGTTGGAGGGAAACCCCCAGCCGTGCTACTATAGTCTCAGACTCACACAGCACGTTAAAAGGAATAATAATAATAATAATAATAACTTTGTCTTTCAAACCCGTCTGAACCTCCTGGTTATCATGATGTTCTTTCTCCAACTGGCCCCGAAGCTCGTTGAGCTCGGCCTTGTAGCTTCCGGCTTTCTTCTCGAGACTCGAATATTCGTTGTTGTGTTTTGATTCCGCAATCTCTAGGGCCTGCTCCTTTTCTGCCTGCAATTTTTGCAGAGTACGCAGCATCTCTTCGTCATGGGCTCTCTGCATACCGAGTTGATCATATTCCAAATCACGCGATCTGCCTTCTGATTTCTTCAACTCTGCTTCTAAACCTTCAACTTTCGCACTGTTTTCTTCGGTGTTCTTTTCCAGTTGTCTCTCCAATGATTGGGCTTTCTTTTCCAAATCACGGACCTTTTTGTTGTGAGATTCCTTGAAGTTCTCCAGTCCAGAAACCGCCTTTTCTTTTTCGTGCTTACACGTTTCAGATTGTATTCTGAACAACTCAAGTTGCGCCTCGGAATCTTTTGCCGTCACCTGCTGACTGTACGTAAGATTATTCAGTGCGGAGAGCTCTTCTTTCATGGTCTTTTTCTCTCGTTCTCTCGCCTCCTGCATATGCTTCACCTGGGCTTCGAGCAAGAGCACCCTTTTTTTCTTGTAGATCGCATCCTCCTTGGCAGTGTTGTATTTAATTTGAAGTTTTCAATTTTTGTGGACTTCTCGTGCATCATCGTCTTCATTTCCTCAATTGCTTTCTGGCTAGCAACTAAGCGACCTGTCTACGCTGGTTGGGAAGTCATGTTGTCATTCTGTACGAGGCGTTCTCGCGTCAAGGGGAATACAGTCAACCCGGCTGCTGCATCCGGCGAGTGCTCTCTTCGCATCTTCGTAAGGTTTTCGACATTGGACTCCTGAGGCTCGTTTGTATCAGAGAGACTCTTGTCATGTGGTCGCTTCTGTGCACTTCATTTTTCTACCTGAACTATAAGGTGCTCAAATCCACGCCACTGTCAAATATTAGCACATATCTTTTTCTCGAGACCTGAGTCAATAGCAGAGAAGAAGGTGAAAGCTTTTTCCGGGTATCAAGTGCAAGTTCGGGAAGAAAACGAGAATTGCTTACCGGGTCCGAAGTGTTATTATAGATGCGGAAGATGGTGCAACGCTGATCCAGTTCCTCTCTGAGTCGATCAAATTGTGCCTTCTCGGAAGCACATAATTGATCAACTGCAGATGCCTCTGGGTGCTCGTCCAAACGAATTTTTTCAACCATCCAGGTATTCCAATCATACTGCGGCTCCATTCATTCATATCGAGAACATCCACCTCCTTTTCCCATGCCTTGTGTTTCTCCTAGAGAGAGTTCATTTGTTGGAGGATATCAGGGATTCCCGCCAGTTGGATATCTTGAATATTTTCTTTGACCTAAGTAATAGTTAGCTCGTGGCACAACTAATGTATGTACGCTGCCGAGATAAAGGAGTAGAGGCACTCACAATGCGTACTGCCTCGGTAAACTCAGCGCCGTGTTTCTGGAGCTCGTCGATGTCGAAGCGCGAAACAAAGGTTGCCCCAGAAGGGGTCTTGAAAATCGTGGGTGGCTTGTCCGCCATGTTTGCGTTCTGCTCCATGGGATACTAGCTCTGTTTGCAAAAGTGTGTTGTCCAAGTCAAAGGCTTTCTCGTGGTTATAAGCAAGAGCAAGGATCAATACTGCAAAGTGGAGCTCAAGGACTTGGTAAAGACCGCAAGACAGTGAAGTCGGGAACGTATGAGAATGTACTATTCGAGTTGTCAGCCTGAGGATCTGCTATTGTACAAGGTTGTGATGAGGGACAGCGATGCTTGAAAGGCATCGATTCAATGCTATTGGTATGATGAATCACAAGCGTGATGAGTTTGGAACTTACATGGATTTCGGGAGGCAACCAGGCGATCGGGCAAATAGGCGAGATGCTGCGCTCAAGTCCTCGAGGACTTCTGGAGATGCAGGCAGGTTTTTGCAGCACGATCAAATGAATTTGGAGAGGAAACTGCAACAAGAAGGATACAATTTGTACAAAGCAATGCAAATCCTACTGCGCAAGCGAGGGCAAGGACTCGAGGTCCAACGATGGATGAAGTGGAGGCTGTACTGCAATAGAAGAGGCGAGACGTCAAGGCAACATTCACGACTGCGTCAACTTGGAAGATGACTTACAGTGGATAGTAACGCAAAGGCTAGTTGAGGAGGAGCTTTCGTTGAATAGTACTCGAATTCGTACTACAGTGATAGTCCCGTCAGAGAAAGGACCAGAATTGGAAGCTTATGGGGGATGTGGGGTACTTACGATCAAGGCGACCAATAGCGCGACCGGTAAATCGGTAAAGTGAGAGAATAGAATAGTGTCTTGGGCAATAGCGGTAGCGATCAATCCGATCTCAATCACAAAAGGTTGACCAAGTGCGTACCCAGTCTGCTGCAGGTGTGGTAGTGTTGATGGGAAGGTGCGTGTTTGTTGTTCCGGAGGCACTTGTCAAGGAGATGGCGTGAAGTATCCAAAGATATCAAAAGCGTGGTGCAAAAACACGTTTTGGTTGTGGAAATGATTGGGCCGGATTAAATAACCTCCGGTCGCTATGGACAGCCATGGACAGCCGGTTGTACCCGCATAACAACCACAAACCGCTGAATGAGTTTTTGATGACAGAGACCGTGAATGAGCCACTGACAACTGGTGATATTAGAGTGTTGTATTGCAAAATTGATTGCTTTGAGGCTTTGAGGAAGGGATCTTCGTCCTCTCGCTTAACCCCTATTCTTTGTGTGGAGAGCCATTATCAACTTTCTTTTGGAATCGCTGGAATCGCTGGGATCGCTGGTGTCAGTTGAAACTGCGGAAAGTAGTTTTGAAACTCATGGTATGCGGTACCAGGAAGAAGAGGAAATAGCCCAGATATTTCCCTTTAGTTTTTTCCTCCGCCATAACCTCAAATCCGCATATGCCGAATCCCTCACTGACGAGTTGCAGTGTTTTTTCTTCTGATGCTAAGTCATACCGTATCTTCATAAAAGATTCTCATGGGTTTTCCTGGATCGAAACGCTGTGGAGAGAGTTGCTGATACGGTGCCATGATCTTATTGGGATTTGTAGATGCCTTTCCTGGCAATACAACTCCCTCAAGAAGAGATTAATCGGTGGTGCAAGCCAAGAAAATCTGCGATGTTGAGTTTGCCAAAGCATGTTGGCCATGAAAGCTCATTGAGAGCTAAAAATGCTCTGGATGGGCTTACTGTATAGAGGATTGGGCCTTCATTATTCCAGCTCCTTCGCGATATTTCCAATTTCACGAAGCAGCTGGGAATACTGCTTTTGCCTGTACCACACAAGGATGCTGGCCTCAATCTTTCTTCAAGTTGAGCAGCACTTTTGAGGGGATATTAGAAGACTAAAATGTCTTTCAATACACCTAGCATGAGTATGATGAAGGTCAACATGAAGTGAACGAAACAGGAAGATCCTGGTGAAACCATGACCACGTCATATGATCACTATGATGACATCTTCATAATGAGCAGTCCCCATATGCTCTATCAAAGGGTACTAAAGAAGACTCTGGCGATCCTTCATGGTGGTGATATGACTGGCAGTCCTTATATTGCCTTGTCACCTTCAACAATTAGTGTACTTCAAAAATGTTTGCAAGAATCTCACCCCACTATTGTGCCCCCACAAGATGGAAAAGAGGATACAGATGTGAAGTATCCCACCATCATGGTTCTGCAGGAGGGATACGAATCACTCTTCTGGTACTACCTCACTTTCTTAGACATGTTCCAAAAGAGGGGTTCAATGTACCGTTTGGTGTAGGCTCTCTCTGTGCTATTGATTTAGCAAGACATGAACGAGAATAGATGAACGATGATTAGTAGATTAATATGAGAGCCCGTTGATCTTATTGGAATATGTGGAACTGCGTTGTTGTGGGAGATACTGTTCAAGAAAGGTTATTGTAGAGTTGAAGAAGGAAAGGTGATGAGGCTGGCTGAGGAGTGCCTTAAATAAGGAAGGGGGTTCAGCTCAGCTCTGGTTGTGGGGCATGAAGGACCCACTCAAAGCATGAATCGTAGCTCTTGCCGTGAATTATAAAAGAGAAAGAGGTAGGTTGTAAGATTTATTGGAGGTCTGACTATGAGACTTCAGTTTTAATGGAAAGATGAATAGATAATCTTCACTAAACCAGGATTGCGAAAATAAAAATTACCATTTCAGTAGTGACTCACTATCAGCTTCTCATTAGATAGCAAATACTTGGTTAGTTGTGTTCTGTTATGCTAGATGTCCTTGAGAAAAGCAACAAACAATCGCCACTTTTCTTCGCTATATTGGCCCGCCTTGCTGCATGATGTTTTCACTTGTTTGAAATCAAGCAATTAGCACGTAGGGATTGAGGGCGGTGTATTTTTCCATCAAGGAACACCCTCGTTCTTAGTACAAACTTTTCCTAATTACAAACAACAAATAATCACTGTCAAATCATTTCATGATTGTTTTGTGATTCCATGCTGATGAAGTAAGACAGTTGGGCGAAACTCTATACACACTATAAGAACCTATCATACTGAAGTTTTAAAACAATTAACTTAATTATCCTAAATAACTTAGATTAATAAAGAGGTATTAGTTGAAGTTATCCTAAATAGCTCGTATAATAAATTTAGTTGTATGAAGCTTTTATAACAATAGATTATTCTAAGCTAGATATATCTAGAGTTTCGCCTAACTATCTTATATTACTTATATCCTATTATGTTACCGTACCCTAATTATGCCCGAGGCTAGTAACTACTATTATCCCTTACTCGTAACTCCCGCAAAACCGGCAAGCAGGACGTCCTAATTGGGTTTGGCTCCCATTTGGGCCTTAGTATTTTCGCTTTGATTGGCGAGGGTACTTAGGCCAAACCGAATTAGGACTTTCTGCCTACCGGTTTTGGGGGAGTTACGGAGTAAGGGATAAACCGCCGAAGTTATATTACTACTACTACTACTACTACTGTATCTTTTATCGACGACTCTAGGAGACTAGATTAGTGTTCGACTATGGATTTTGAACTCCTACCAATAGGGGGAGTAAGCACGTGGCATCTCAGACAAGTGATAATACATAAAGAAAACGTGAGAGGGAAGGACTTGGATATCTACTTAGGTAGATTAGGTACCCAGTTACATTTAGTAAGTAATTATTAGTTAAATAGAGAAGCTAGAACTATTATTAGCTCTTTCTCCTAATTATTAAAATATGGGATATTTAATCAGGATACCGTACGTACTAAGCGAGGCTTTTTCTTTATTAAAATATTTCAGATCATATTGAATAAATTTGGACTGCTATAAACAAAAGTGGCAAAGAGACCATTCTTTTTTACTTCTCCGATACCCTAATCACCAGCTTTCCACGTGTTCTTCCCAATTTCAGCGCCTTGAAAGCATCTCCCGCCTCCTCTAAAGCATATACCTTCTCAATGTGAGGCTTCAACTTGCCGTCTTTGATCCAACTAGCCATCCTCAGAAACTCTTCGTTACCGGGCTTCCTAGCAATAAAGGTTCCCTTTCTTCGGGACCCTCCTAGCCATGATGGTTGAGCGAGTATCTTGGCCATGCCGATAAGACTCGATAAATTGGGTGATCCTGCAATAGCCACATAAAGCCCGGTGTCCCTGAGGTAGTGATGGGACTGTACGAAGATAGGCCCGCCCATGGCAACGTTATCAACTAACAAGTCGTATTGCGCTCCGTCTTTCTTGAGCTCTTCAATTACATTGACGGACTTGTAGTCAATGACCTTATCCGCGCCTAGACTTTTGCAAAGCTCCACGTTGGCACCAGAACATATGGCTGTCACAGTACAGCCCAAAATCTTGGCTATCTGAATACCAAACGTTCCTGTCCCACCGCTTGCGCCGTTGATGATAACTTTCGAGCCACCACCTTCCTTGACGTTGGGCACAATGCATTGCATGGCAGTTTGGCCAGCGATTCCCAACGACGCAGCATCCTTCAGATTTACTCCCTCAGAGAGCTTTGCAACATTGTCTGCGCCTTCGATGACGGCATATTCAGCAAGTGCCCCATAATTGGGAATGACAATGCTACCCGCTACCAGGTCTCCGGGTTTGATGTGAGGCAAGTTGGTATTAATAACTGTTCCCGCGTAGTCTGATGCTGGGATCCAAGGCCCCTTCCCCATGGCGGCATACCGGCCTGGTCCAAACTCTGCAATTTTGTAGTCTACTGGGTTGATGCTCGCGTAGGAGATTTTGACAAGTGCTGAGTTTTTGGGAAGCGAGCGAGCGGATTTGGGAAGCGGTGTGGCGGGATTTACTTTCAGGCTCGACTCGATCGGCACCGCTGTCCATTGCGCAGAGCGCATTTGGTCTGGAATGTTAAGGTCATTTGTTTCTGTCATGTTTGCTGATGATGCCAGGGTAATAGTAAGTGTAACTGAGGGTTTGAAAAGAGCAAAGTATAAAGTCTTTATACGATATGGTTTTGAGAGGAACGGGTCGGCTATTTAACTTCATTTCAGTACTAGTACTGCACCTAGCAATACCTAACCTATAGTGGTAAGTTTCATCGACGTCAACAGGATCTTCACCTGGCCTCTTGGGTCTTTGATTGGTGGCCCCATCGCCATTTCATTACTCAGAGATCGACTTTTGGTGCGATAGTGATGTATGATGCCATCATTTTTATTTTCTTCTCCACCGTGACTCGAGTGCCGAGGTATCGGAGAATCGGCGTAACAGTGGATTCCGATCAAGACCCGCAGCCAATCGCAGGCTATGAAAGTTGAGGACCTACATCCCTAATTTTAAAATCGGCTCAATTGAAGTAAAAAAGGAAAGGCAGAGAAGAACTGGAAAGTCTTCGTTAGATTTGTTATGGAACTCAACAGAAGAAAAGGGAACTTCTTGTGCTGTATCGTTGAACCACCATCCGAATTCCAATATCTTCATTCTACCAAGTGTTTCGAGCTTATCGTATTATGCCCCTCTCCCTGTTTTTACGAATCGTCGGAGTTCAGTATGAAGGTCCGGGTCAACTCATCACCGACGGGTGGAAGTCATACCACCCCTCTCGCCTTCGTGCTGTGCCCCAGTGGAGAAAATGATGGCTACAGATAATTTGTGGATGGGCTTTACTCGTTCATAATCACCCTTCAGCAACAATTCAGCATTTTTCTTTCTCCTGTTTTCTGAAGCTATAGTTATGTCCGGCAACTGATACAATGTTTACGTTCTACCTAATCAGGCGATTCTGCCGCTCTTACACCACAAGGTTCTTGAATTAGCTAACCAGAAGCCTGCAAAAGCGTAACTCGAGAGATCTACTTCTACAACAATTACTTCTTCTTGTGGAAAAATCATTGTATAGATAGAGGGACCTTACGGAATAACTCATTTCTATGTTCACTAGACATACATAAGTTAAAATACACTTTTTGTAAGCAACGCGGTCATAACTTGAGCCACGCCTAGGTTGGAATAAAATAATATTCTTGGAACCTCATTACACAAGATATTTAGAATGACAATCTGATTCAATTAAGTAATTTGGGACAATTAAGTTGATTATTCTAGGGTCTCTAGTATGATAATTTTCTAAAGGTATATCCAGAGTGATGGACAGGTCGCTTATGATAATCCAGCTTTAGATGTACTTGTCATTCCCTCTTATGACAACTTCCGGTTGTGAATAGATGAAGAAGAGGTCGAACCCTGAGATAGCTCAATAGTGGATAGTTGGAGTACTCTGCGTGCCACCTACCGGTATATTTCGTATAATTTCCTAAAGCTCTAGGTATCCTGGACAGCATCCTATCCATGTGCAACCATTGCCATAATTGCACGACCCGGCTAAGCTCATATCCATTCACGTGAGACTATGAAGCGGGAGATTGACTTCACCTTTTCTGAGGTGGTACTGGATGGCCAGCACCCACCCCGCTTTCAGTCTTTGAACTGTCACTTCACTCCTCTCCTGTCACGCCTGGCATCCTATGCCTGCATTCTATTCTAGAAACGAGCCTCTCACTATATTCCAACCTCAAGTTGCCAATTCTCCTGTTTCGTTGGACTCATCTTTGGGGTTCATGCTTCCGAAGCGCTCACTATTGACCTCTTCACCTCAATATCTCGTTGGGACCTCAATATTCACCTTCAAAGTTTGCCTTCGCCAGGTCATTTCTTACCCTCAAAACATCAGCTCCACAATCAATCTTCAATCAAACCTCTTTTCATTCTCCCTAATCAACATCTTACACTATCCTTCCCGTCCTCACCATCACCATACTTCATTCTGCATACTCTCAGAACAATGACGTCCATCCTCGGTACCCCATTCAACGCAGGCTCCAGTGCAACAATGACTCCAGCAGATGCAAGGACTCTCCTTAATCAACTCGAGGAGGACATCACCTACGTCGTCGATACGCACAGCAAGTCTCTCGACGATGCAGCTGCGCATGTCAAGTACGAGGATACCCTCCTTGAGATCTCGTTTCGATACACGCAGCTGCAAGAGGAAATGAAAGATCATAATGAGTACACCACCTTCATGAAGAAGCGGGGTAAGGATATCGACGCGGTCGAGAAGAATAAGTTCTGCAAGAGCTTTTTGGACTCGCAGGTCCTCAAGTTTGAGGTTCAGAGTTTGTTCAAGGATATTGAGATGGATCGCTTGAAGGTTGAACTTGTGGTAGCAAAGGAGGCGAAGACTTCTGCAGAGAAGATGCTTGAGGAGTATCGTGATGATGTTTCTAAGCTGGTGGTACATCATCCTTTCTCGCTCATGCATGCATGTCAAAACACTGACAATTCAATGCTAGGCAAAGGTTACCGCGCCCATTGGTACTATCCCAGCATTCAAGGCTGAAGAAGCTTCCACGCCAGCCCCAAAGACTGAAAACATCAACAGTGTAGCCAGCCAAACACGAGCAGTCACAGGAGCCAAAAGACGAGCCCCGCAACCAGCACCAGAAGCATCGGTACTGAAGCCACTTTCGACCAAGGTTGTGAAGAATGCCAAGGACAAAAAGACTGTTTGTTCCAAGTCGATAAAGCTTTCCCAACAATTGTCAGAACCTTCCAGTCGGTCATTGAAAACGAGACCAAAGCCCAAATGCAGGAGAAGCACAATCAAGTCACGGGACTGAGTACTTCGGAGCTTCATGCTATCATGGGATCAAACCCTTCCGATGATGATGATGATACCGAATTTTCTTCTCTCGAAGAGTTCTCATGATGAAGTAGTACCCACACAACAACCATCAGGAGATTTGGAAGGACCTCTCACCCCCTAAGTAGGCCAGAGGGTTTTTCCCCAAGAGTCGGGTTGCATTCGTCGCATGAAGTCTGCGATCGATTTCGTTTCTTCTTTATTCCTTTTCCTTTAAAGGGTGCGCTATGGAAGTAAAATAGGGATTCATTGTGCGGCCTTTTTATCAAATTACCCACCTGTCAACTGTTACTATCGCCAAAGGGCCACTGCGCAAAGCAAAAATGCCACACGGAACACACGTAGCTTAGAATATTACTATCCTAAAACACTCGTATGATGAAAATAACTATGTGACCGATTTGGGATAATTAAAATTGGCTTATCTTTATTGACCTACATAATTCAGGCTATTGGTGTTAATATTTTAAAAAGTCTAGCACAACAGTTTCTCAAAGTTTGTCCAGAGTCATAACCGTATCTCTCACCCCTCTAAATACGAAATGTTCCCGGCAAAGCTTAAGGACGGTGGGGTACTCAAGGATAACGAATCAGAAGAATTATTCACACCGCAATCTAGGAGAGCTACTTGAACACAACATTGCCAACTCGCTATCGGACCACGGGTAATACCAAGAACGTTCAACAAATATGGGGGAACAGGGCAAAACCATCAACTTCGCGAAAGGAGAAAGAATCAAGAATATCACAGAACATTCCAGCATCATCAAGTGCTATAATCTCTCATGTGTGGTGTGTAATATTTGATTGGGTCAAACTTCGGGTTCCTTTTCAGCCGTTTCGTGTTCCATTCCTCCTGCGATAATATCCAATTTCATATCCTCGTTCGTCCTGCTCAGTGCTCACGAGGGAGAGGGGTAACACATATATGGGACCAGCACCTGGGATTTGGAGAGCCCAGGGTGCCAGTAAGAGCCTTGCGGAGCCGCGAGCGAGCGAGAGGTGAGAGGTGAGTGAGCGGCTCCGCAAGGCGAGTGCTGGGTCCATATATGTGTTTGTGGGGGGGGGTTTGTGGGTGTGTGTGGAGAGGGGTGGAAGTGTATAGAGTATCCACCGCCTGCCCTGCAAATATCCTCCTCTCCCACATTTGTGTGACGAGCATGGGAAACCCCTGTAGGCCAAAACCATACTCGGAGAGCACTCCTTGCCTAGCAAATTTATAGATATCGAAAGTTCGAAGATGTTGAAAGCTTGTTATCGTAGTCTTAGAGTTCGTGGGTTGCTTGCTCTCCCCCCCCCNTCCTAGACCAGCTAGCCACCCCCTTTACTATTTGGATTGTAGATTGAGTTGTAGGGACAAGGTTGCGTTTCCTCTGGACCCATTTGAATAGGAAGGAGTACAGGGAGCCTCACGGAGGTTAGGAGGGGTATTGTGCCTTGAAAGCTGATGTGTACGTATCGCACCTATAAGCAAACGCAGGTGAGTAATCGACACTTTGTTACAACTAGAGCACTTAGCTAGTGAAGAGAGCTAATCAAATAGAGCTAGGAGAAGCAAAGTAATAAGAACGCGAGAAAAAGATAGATCTAAGGCTCGTACGTATCCTGCTCTAGGGCAGGAATTATGAAGTTGTTGAAGGTTCCTACCCCCGCCGCTAGCTCTTATCGGTTGTTTGTCTGTCCTCACGTGATATAAAAACATCCCCGATAGATATACATTGAGGGGTGGCAGTAATTTATTTGACGTGAACTTTGACAACCAACACGCAATCGAATTAAGTGACGACGGGTAGCTAACTGCTTAGGTGAAAGGTACAGCAAGAGGGGTCGAGGAAGATAGAGAGATTGTTACTAACTTACTATGGTAGATATGATGGTAGTGGTGATACCGCGTTCTGAAAGTGGAACGGTAGCGGGGACTCTTTTGGTAGGCGGCTCGAATCAGGAAGGAAGGAGGGTTGAGGAACGTCTGCCAGTGTAAGCAAGGAATACTCAGGTACTTAAGTAGTACTCTGAGTAGTGTGAGTAGAGTAGAGTAGAGTAGTACTTAAATTTCATTTGAGTAGAGTAGAGTAGTTACTTAGAGTACTCAAAGTAGTACTCTAAGTAGTATACTATAAATAGCAACAAATTACTAAAGTATAAAGTAGTTATCCTCAAAGTCTATATCTTTATCCTTCTCCTCTCTCTTCTTTCTTTCTTCTTCGGTCTCTTCTTCTAGATAAAGACCCCAGCTTTTTAGGCTAATTACAGCCTCTATAGTGTCTTTAGAAAGCCTATTTCGTTGCTTTGTAACTATTAAAGCTCCTTGACTAAAGACTCTCTCACTAGGAGCTGAAGTAGCTGGAATTTGTAAATACTTTCGAGCTAATATAGATAAAACCGGATAGTTAAGCTCATTAACTTTCCACCAACTTAATGGAGAGAACTTAAAGAGTTAATTAGTATAGACTTAGTATAGAAAACTTATAAATAGCTACTTACTTCTCTTTTAACTCTCTTTTCTTCAAAATACTGAGTAAATTCATCTACTACTTCTTCGTCTTCTAGATATAGATTATCTAGTTCATAGTCTCTATTAGCTCTTTCGAAA